CATTTGCCTGCAAATTTCATGCTTTCATTGTTTTTCTCTGCTGAGTAGTACTCCATTGTATATATGTACCACATTTTTTCCATCCATTCTTCCGTTGATGGGCATCTAGGTTGTTTCCAGGTTCTGGCTATTACAAATAGTGCTGCTATGAACATAGTTGAGCATGTATCTTTTCAATAAAAAATATTGAAGAAAGTTTCCCTAACTTAAAGAAGAAGATGCCTATTAAGGTACAAGAAACAAATAGAACACCAAATAGATTGGACCAGAAAAAGAAGTTCCATTAGCATACAATAATCAAAACACCAAACATACAGAACAAAGAAAGAATATTAAAAGCTGCAAAGGAAAAAGACCAAGAAACATAAAGGCAGACTTATCAGAATAACACCTGGCTTCTCAATGGATACTAAAAACAAGAAGGACCCAGACAGATATTCTACAGACTCTAAGAGACCACAGATGCCAGCCAAGACTACTATACCCAGCAAAACTTTCAATCACAATAGATGGAGAAAATAAGACATTCAATGATAAAACCAATTTAAACAATATCTATCTACAAAGCCAGCCATACAGAAGATGCTAGAAGCAAAACTCCAACATGAAGTGGTTAACAACACAAGAAAACACAATAAATAAATAATCTGAGACCTGCAAATCAGAAGAGGGTAAACAACCGCCCTCACACACACATACACACCACAACAAAATAATAGGAACCAGTAAGCACCATTCATTGGTATCTCTCAATATCAATGGTCTAAATTCCCCAATAACAGCACCTAGATTGACAGATTGTTTAAAAAAAATGGGATCCATCCTTTTGCTTCATCCAAGAAACACATCTTATCAAGAAAGTAGACCTGAGAAGCAAGCTGGTGTAACCATTTTAGTATCTGACAAAATAAACCTCAAACTAAAACGAATCAGAAGAGATAGGGAAGATACATACTCATCAAAGGAAAAATCCACCAAGTGGACATTGCAATTCTTACTATCTATGCACCAAATACAAGGGCACCCAAGTTCATAAAAGAAACACTACTACAGCTTAAATCACATATTGTCCCTGACACACTGATAGTAGGAGACCTCAATAACTCACTCTTGCCAATAGACAGGCCATCCAGACAAAAACTAAACAGAGAAATTCTGGAGCTAAGTAATGTTATAAACCACATAGACCTAACAGATATTTACAGAACATTTCATCCAAATGCAAAAGAATATACCTTCTCAGCACCTCATCAAACTTTCTCCAAAATTGACCACATACTTGGACACAAAGGAAGTTTCAACAGACACAAGAAAATTAAAATACCACCCTGCATCCTATCTGGCCATTATGGATTAGAGCAGGATTTCAACAGCAACAGAAACAGAAAGCTTATATACTCGTGGAAACTAAACAATTCACTACTGAATGAAAAATGGGTCAAGAAATTAAAGACTTTCTAGAATTGAATGAAAATAAATGCCTAACACACCCAGTTGTATGGGACATAATAAAGGCTGTTCTAGGAGGCAAGTTTATAGCACAAAATGCCCACATCGAAAAAGTGGAGAGATCTTCTACTAGTAACTTAATGGCACACAGGAAAGCTCTAGAACAAAAAGAAGAAATCACTTCCAAAAGGAGTAGATGGCAAGAAATAAACTCAGGGCTGAAATCAATAAAATAGAAACAAACAAACAAATTACAATGAATCAATGAAACAATAAGTTGATTCTTTGAGAAAATCAATAAGATTGATAACCCTTATCCAAACCAACTAAAAGGCGGAGAAAGAATATCCAAGTTAGCAAAATTAGAAACAAAAAGGGAGCATAACAGACAGAGGAAATCCAGAAAATCCTAAGGACAGGTTAAAAACCTATACTCTACCAAACTGGAAAATCTAAGAGAAGTAGATAATTGTCTCTATACATACCACTTAGCAAAGTTAAGTCAAGATCAGATAAGCAATTTCAACAGACCTACAACCCCTAGTGAAATAGAAGAAATAATTAAAAGTCTCCAAACAAACAAACAAAAAAAGAAGCCTAGGACCAGATGTTTTTAATGTAAGATTCTACCTGTCTGCTCTCTCAACACCTGAGACAGAATAAACTCTTTCTTCCTTAAGCTGCTTTTGTTAGTTATATGTTAAGCAAGGAGACAAGTGATGAATACATAGTATGTTAGTGATAGAAGCTATGTAGGTAATTCTTCCACTCCTCAAAGTTTACTGCTTACAAGACGGTGTACTAGAATATTCGAAATATTAAATATATTTACCAGAGTAAAGCTTAAGTGGTGTAGTCATATGTAAAAATTTGTCAAGCAATATACTAAATGTCAGAACTATTTACATCTTTAGTATATATATACCTCACCAAAAGTTAAACAAATCAGAAAAAGGCAAAGATATTTTTAAAACATGCATCATTTTACTTGCTGTTGCTGTAACAAAATATTTGGAGCCGGGTAATTTATAAAACAAAGAGATCTATTTTCAGCCTTTGGTGGAAACTTTGAAGTGATGGGAGATAATGGTAAAGCAGTAACAAGAGGAGCTATGAAGGCAGAGTTCCTCAGGGCCCCACCAGTCTTTGTAACACTTCTCTCTCATAGGATCTAACGAGGGCCCATGAGGTATACATGAACCCAATAACCTACTTACCTCCCACAAGGCGTTAGCTCTTAATGATCCCACCACCCCTTGACAGTGCCACAGTGCAGGCCGAGCTTCCAGCATACAAGCCTTTGGGTACACAGTCATGCCATGCCAAAGCCCTAGGAGACTCCTGTTTCAATACTTGAAAGCAGGAGCCAGAAACCATTTCCTGTATAGAGCCTTCCAGTCAGTCTTAGGTTTGCAAGACATACTTCCCACCACAACTTCTTAGTGGGACCACTGCAGTGCAAAATTAACTGTACACTACATACATAAATGAATGGCTGTAGTTGTGTTCCAATAAATGCCATTCACAAAATATAGGTACATCACCTTCTCTTGCTTTAAAGACTTAGCAAAGATTTACCCTATATTTAAATAACAAAATAGAATTATTATGCTCTATGTGGTAATAGTAAGATCTCTTCAGCCCAGTTATAGTGTGATTGTTATTTGTGGTCAACAGATCTCCCATAGTCACGCTGTTCTCAAATTGAGTAAGTGTCTGAGAGTGACTGTGAGCTCTTGATCCTCTTGCCTCCACCTCCCAATGCTGAGTTTGAAGGCGTGTGCCACCACCCATGATGGCCTCTGTGCCTGGTTTAAAGTATTGAGTGTAAGGCCGGGTGGTGGTGGCTCACGCCTTTAATCCCAGCACTCGGGAGGCAGAGCCAGGAGGATCTCTGTGAGTTTGAGGCCAGCCTGGGCTACCAAGTGAGTTCCAGGAAAGGCGCAAAGCTACCTTTCCTGGAAGACAGAGAAACCCTGTCTTGAAAAACCAAAATAATAATAATAATAACAATAATAATAATAATATAATAATAATAATAATAATAATAATAATAATAATAATAAAAATAAAGTACTGAGTCTAAGTTGTGTTTTGGAGTTTTGGTAAAAGCAAACAGAGGTACCACTAATCAGACCCAAATAGTTGTGAATGGAAGATGGACTTGGTCAAGGAAGACTTCCCTAAAACCGAGCTGTTAACTTTGAGACCAAAAGAATTAATAGACGTTATCTAGATGGCAATTGCTAGGGAACATGGAGGCGCCAGGGAACAAACCAAGCCTAAGGAGGAGAATGAGCCATGGCAGCAAAAAGGAAAGCTTGGCATGTGAAGCTCCTGAGGCTACGCGAGGCTACCCAAGGCTACCCGAGGCTAGAAAGCAACAAGGAAGAAAACAAGAGACACAAATAAAGATGGAATGGTGCCGAGGGCCCAGACTGGATGGGCAGGAGGCTTCTTTAAGGCATTCGGGTTCCTTTATGAATTTGAGGGGCTATGTCATGGACTTATTTTAAAACAGGTGAATAATATGACCTGTGCGCTGCTTTTAAAACACCACCCCAGGGCCGGTGAGGCACTCGGTGAGTAAAGGTGCCCGACAGCCTGACTTCAATTCCCAAAACCCACATGGTGGAAGGAGAGAACTGAATACAGAAAGCTGTCCTCTGAACATCGGAGTGCCTAGCAAGTATGGGTGTGCCTACCCACACACCTAAGCATACATGTAGACACATACACACAACATTCAGAAATAAATATGTAATATGTTAAAAAAAAAAAACACGCTAGGCTCTGTGCTGAGAATTTGAAGAGAGGGCAGTTAAGAACGCAGGGGAAATCCTTAGGAAACTGCCAGGCTAGCCAGCCTACAGAGGATTGTCATTTGGATGGCAGAGGAGAGAAGTGGGTGGTTAGGAGATGCTGTTTGGAGGTAAGCTTCATAGAACTTGGTTACGGACTCCTGGGGCAGACAAGAAAAGGAAGACTTGATATGAGTGGGGATGTACCAAGCAGTCATTCAGGAACCAGATCAACCGAGTTTACTGGAGATGCATAATTAAGTTGCCAAGCAACAGTGGGTTGGGGATGTTGACTTTTCAATCATATCAATCCGTTCAGCTGTGTGTTTTCTCCCACTGGAGCTTGGGCGCTGGGAGGCCAGATGTTTGGGTTCATCTAGGGTTCGAGTTTGGTATGTTTGCCAGTGGGGAAAGAACAAGATGATTACTGTGGTGTTTGCACAGGGTTTGTACTGAGGGACTTCTGAGCGCCTACAGCGATAGAGGTACAGGAGGAAGAGTGGGGCTGTGGTCCTGATGAGATGCACGGTGGTGGAAGAGTAGGATGCTTGCACCACATAGCTTTGAGCAGTTTGTGATTTTTATTTTATTTTATTTATGTATTTATTTATGTGTTTATTTATGTTTTATGTATGTATGTATGTATGTATGTATGTATGTATGTATTTATTTATTTATTGATTGATTGATTGCTGAGGTAGGGTTCAACAAACTAACAGCTCCCTATCTGTTCCTGGCGGGCCACTGCAGGTCTGTGACAGCTACTCCAAATGATGACAGCCGTTAAGGTGGACTGGAAGACTGACATCCAGGTGCTGAAATCTCAGGCGCAGGAAGAGAGGTGGCAGCCGTTGACAGCCACAGGAAGAGGGAAGTGTGACCCAGGTGGGTGGTGTGAGCATCAAAGGAGAGGGAATTTTCACAGGAGGAAAGAGACTTCACCTCTGAGAGTACCAAAGCTGAGTGGGTCCTGGATGTCGGGAGTGCTCTGAGCTGAGAGCCGACAGGAAAGGGATTTCTGGCAGAGGACTTAGAGAACCACTGAATGGCTTTTGGAAGAAGGTGCTCACATTGCCTAACACTGATATCTGAGATGTTTTTGTTTTTTAAACAATAAATAACTTTGGGGGAAAGTATTTTCATTTTAACAGTGTCTTTTTATTTTAAAGTTGTTAACGAATTCTAGCACTTGGGATGCAGAGGCAGGTGGATCTCTCTGAGTTTGAGGTTAGTCTGGTCTACAGAGTGAGTTCTGGGCCAGCCAGGTCTATATAGTGAGGTCTTCTCTCTCTGTCTCTGTCTCTGTCTCTGTCTCTGTCTCTGTCTCTCTCTCTCTCTCTCACACACACACACACAATTAATAATGAAAATACACTATAAATGAATAAGCTCCGAGTTTTCATTGGGATGATGGAAAGATTCTAGTATCTGATGGTACTGGCGGTTGCACAACATTGTGAGTGTTGTAAAGGACATCAAATTGCACACTGAAAAGTGGTCAAACTGGCTCTTCCTCTGCTCAGCCTGCTGTGATGAGTACATAACTGCGTGGTTTATAAATGAGTATAAATGATGGAGATGTGGGGCTGGGACAGTGGCTGAGTTGGTAAAGTGCTTGCCACACAAGCATTCCCAGACATATGTACAAAAGCCGTGGCAGAGCAATGCATGCTTGCAATCTCAGTGCCAGTGGGTTGGAGACGGGCAGATCCCTACTTGTTGAATTTCAGGCCAGTGAGAGACCCTGTCTCAAAACAAAAAAATAGAACCAAACAACAACAAGCATGAGGCTAGTGGCCAAAGTTGATCCTGGGCCTCAACATACACAACTATGTGATCATGGTCACCCAAACACAAAAACCACAATCACTCCAAGCCAATGGAACAGCCAACAAAAACAACAGAGATGTGTTTTGCACTGTTCCAAAGGCTGGCAAGGCCAGGTTTAGGACACCTAGTAGAGATTCAGTGCCCATTGAGGATTGGTTTCCTACCTTTTTGTTGTGTCTCTGTGTGGTAGAAGGTTCAAAAGAGAGTGGTTCATGGTCCTAACTGATATTTATTCATCAGACACCTCCCCTGGAGACTCAGGGATCTATGTAGAAGAG